ATATCATTATCCGACATTGCTTTAGAGAAGCTAACAAAGTTGCTGATTAATTGGCTACTATTAGTCTGTACAATATTTTTGCTGAACTTCCTAAGAAAGTTCGAGGCTTGTTAAATATGTATAGCTGACAGCTACGTACCTCCATTCAGAGTCAAGAAGAATAGACCAAGTATGCTCACTCATGAGCCTCCTTATACTTTCAGTTTTATTGTCACTTTTATTTATTATTTACGCACTCCCTTTAAAATAGGCAGGTGTCTTACGCCTGCAAATTCGAGGGGACCTATTTTTTAAAGTTATAATAAGCTATGTTTTTTTTAAAAAAAGAAATAACATTGAGTATCATTTTTTTTTTGGTCTGCTTATTGAGTACTATTTGTAGAAAAAATAAAGTTTTCATATAAAAAGCAAATATTATTAGAAGCTTGACACATCTAGAGTATTATGTCTCAAGAAAGATTAAATGAATTTACTGTATTATCAATTGAAAAGGAATTATTAGAAAAAAATTGATTACGAAAAAATTATTAATTTTAATCTCAAAAATCAAGAAGAATACACTTGAAAAGATAGAAAGAAATTGATTGAGAGAAAATTCTCTTTTCTGTATGTTTGACATCACTGTACAGATGCGTATATAAACAACTCACGAAATATGTGAACAACAAACTCCGTAAAGATAATGAAGAACGTGGCTAACTAACTATGAAATGTGTCCTACATTATCTAACAAACTAAGTGTCCTACTTTGTTTAAAAAACTAAAAGATAATTGCAAGGAATAAAATGAATATATATGAATAAATCGGCTAATTGAGACAAAGATGGATTGAATGAGAGTGAAATTAAATCAGCAAGAAATTGTTGTCGGACGAAATGGCAATCAAGCTCCACATGCTTGGTTCGCTCATGAAAAATGGGATTCTTGGCAATATGTATAGCAGCTTCGCTATCCGAGTGAAGAGGAACTGGCAAAGCTATAGGAATCGAAAGATCAGTGAATAATTGTACCAACCAAGTCAACTCGGCAACAACTCTCGTCATGGACCGATACTCAGCTTCAACAAAGCTGAGAGAGATAGAAGTCTGCTTCTTTGACTTCCAGGAGATAGGAGAAGCACCAAGAGCTATGTAAAATCCACTTACAGACTTTCGTGAATTGGGGCAAGCCCCCCAATCCGAATCACAGAAAGCTATCAATTCAAAGGATGCTGATGAAGACATGAATAATCCCAGACCAGGGTCCTTCAATAAGTAGCGAAGGACACGAAGAGCAACATTCAAATGAGGAGCCCTTGGATCTTGCATATATTGGCTCAAATGTTGTACTGTAAAGGCAAGATCTGGGCGAGTATGTGTGAGATAATTTAACTTTCCGAGTAGATGGCGATACAAAGTTGGGTCTTTGATTAGATCACCCGAATTAGCAAGCAATTTTGATGTGGGATCAAGAGGGGAAGATACTGCAGTAAGGCCGAGAATATCAAATTTTGACAGTAAATCCAAAGTGAACTTGCATTGAATGAGAATTAAACCCCGATGCTCGCGAACTACCTCCATACCAAGGAAATAGTGCAAGTTTCCAAAGTCTTTAATTTTGAACTCTTGAGACCTAATAATCAAATAGGTTGTTTTGTATTTGCGAACTTTGAAAGGAAACCTATTAATCAGATAGGTTGTTGTTAAAAGACAATCACCCCAAAACTTAATAGGTAAATGCGATTGAAAAATAAGCGCTCTAGACGTTTCTAATAGATGCCTATGTTTCCTTTCCACAACTCCATTTCGTTGTGGAGTGGAAACACAAGTTGTTTGATGAATGATTCCTTGAGATGACAAAAATTCAAATTGCAGTTTTCCAGTCCCTAATTCAAAAGCATTATCTGATCTTATTTTTTGGACTGTAGTGCGAAACTGCCTCTCTATCATGATTAGGAAAGATTTAAGTACTATAAAAGCATTTGATTTGGAAGATAGTAAGAACGTCCATGTTCCTCTACTAAAATCATCTACTATAGTGAGAAAATATCTGAAATTGTCATGAGTAGGATTGTTGTAAGGTTCCAAGTATCTACATGAATTAATTCAAAAATAGATTTTGTAGAAGTAGAACTAGAGGGAAAAGGGAGTTTGAACTGTCTAGCCATTGGACAAATAACACATGGAGATTGAAAATTTGAACAATGAGATACTGGAAAAGACATAATTTTTCTCATATTGATTAAAGGCATATGACCGAGTCTATAATGCCATAGCTTCTCTTCTACATTTGAAACATGAACATTGAAACTAGAATTTAAAATAGGAATAGGATTGGCAACACAGTGCCTTCTTGGAATTAAAACTTGACTAGAAATAAAACTATCCCTAGAAGCTGCAGCTTTAGACTTTGATTTTAGAATGTAGAGTCCACCTTTTTCTTCACCAATATCCAGTGGCTGCTTCATTGAAGGGCCCTGTAGAAAGCAAGAATCGGGAGTGAAGAGAACATGTCGATTAAGTTGTTTATACAACTTGTGGACAGACATAAGATTGAATTTAAAAGATGGAATATAGAGAACATTATGCAAGATCAAATTTTTCAGAAGAGTAACAGAACCATAATGTGTGACCTTAACTTTATGAGAATTGGGAAGTGTCACCATGATTGGATTTCCTAATGACTTAAAATTTGAAAGAAGATGCTTGTTAAGAGTCATATGTTCAGATGCACCACTGTCCAATATCCAAGATTGGTGTATATTTTAACCAAAAATGCATAAGAATTGAAAAACCTTTTCATACCAGCACAATTGGCACTCGTGGAGCTTTGACATTGTTTTCACTTTGTTGTCCCAATTTTTATTGTTGAAGTAATTGCAAATTTTCTCCTATGTTCTCCTGAGTTAGAGTTTTTCCAACATTGTTATCACTTTGCTTTCCCATTTTAAATTGTTGAAGTAATTGCAAAAGTTCTCCTATGTTCTCCTGAGTTAGAGTTTTTCCATTTGAGAACTCATTACCCCCTTGATCAACCTCCTCCATAACGTGGTAATCATTGTTAGCCAGAGTTTGGAATTTCCTTTGCTTTGTTTGAAATCTGGAGGAAATCCATGAATCCTGTAGCATTTGTCAATGCTATGACCTGGCTTTCTGCAATAGGCACATGTGCTTGAATTCTTCTTTGATTCAACAAATCCCTTTGGTGGTTTGAAACTAGGATAGTTTCTATTTCCTCCTGCTTGATTTGTTACGATAAATGATGTAGAATCCCCTGGATAGACATGAGAAGTATTGATTTCTCGTTGCTTTTCATCTTGGATAACCAAGGAATAAGCCTGTACAATAGAGGGTAAAGGGGATGACAACAAAATATTGCTCCTAACACCAACAAAAGACTCATTTAGCCCCATCAGGAATTGTAACAACCTTTCATCTTGATGGGTTTCAGAAGTTTTGCCTTAGCACCACAATCGCACACACAAACACAAACACAAACAGAAAAAGTGTTTAACGCATCTAGTTCATCCCATAGACTCTTCATTTTAGTGAAATAGCCTGATATACTAGAGTTACCTTGCACCACAACATTTAGTTCCTTTTGTAACTGGAACAATTTTGCACCATTCGTCTGACCAAATCTATCTTTTAGGTCGCTCCAGAGTTCTTTGGCACTTTGGGAGTAAAGCACTGATTCAACTATCTCTTTAGATAAAGAGTTGAGAAGCCACGAAAGAACCATGTCATTGCAGCGTGACCATGCCTTTTGAAGAGCCAAATCTGCAATTGGAATCGCCAGTGAACCATCAGTGAAGCCAAGTTTGTTTTTGGCAGAGAGCGCAATTATAACGACCCTTCTCCATCCACCATAGCTTTTCCCATCAAACATTGTGGAAATGAGATTCATCCCTGGATAATCAGAGGGATGAATATAGTAGGGAAGAGTTGAATCGATAACATTATTTCCAGCAGAAAGAGTGATTGGAGTGCTTTCAATAATCGGATCAGAAGTAGAAGACGTGGGTGCCATTGCAGAGAAGATGAAGAAAAGAGAAAACGAAACAAGGATTTTAGGCAAATTCTAAACCTGCTCGGATACCATGAAAAGATAGCAAGAAATTGATTGAGAGAAAATTCTCTTTTCTGTATGTTTGACATCACTGTACAGAAGCGTATATATACAACTCACGAAATACGTGAACAACAAACTGTGTAAAGATAATGAAGAACGTGACTGACCAACTATGAAATATGTCCTATTTTATCTAACAAAGTAAGTGTCCTACTTTGTTTAAAAAACTAAAAGATAATTACAAGGAATAAAATAAATATATATGACTAATCTTCCAGAAGCTTTTTTTTTCAGACAAGAAACACACCTAGCAAACCTCTGTCTTCTTCGTCGTTACTGTTTCACATTATCTACACCAACAATACTTCATAAAAAAATATAATATTTTTGGAAAAAAGTTTAAGGCCTCTTTTTGTATTTAGCTTTAGTTCACTAGTGAGTAGTGTGTTTGTATTCAGCTTTAGGCCACTAGTGTGCTTGAGCCACATTTCTAACACTTAGTAGGACCAACAAACCAAAAGTAGGGACAATGGGACAGGGCAAGTTTGAGCTTTTGTGGAGGCGGTGTCCAATTTTTTTTTTTTTTTTTTAAAACATGTGGGGCGGAGCAGATTTGTGGTTTGCAAATTGAAATGTGAAATTAAACTAAAACCTAAAATCATTTCAATCAGGTTGTTATTCATTAGGTTTCCTTAATATCAATCCATCTATTCCAATTGTTTTGTTTTTGATTGTTTTTAATTATTTTTTTAATTTATCAACGGTCGATGTTAAATCAAACATAAACGACTTTCACTATTCGAATTAGATATTCATCAATAACTATAAGAAAGAGTAGTAAAGTTACAATTTTTTCAGCTATTAATGTAAGGAAAAATTCATTTATAAATTCCACTCTAATATAACCATTCTAAAAAAAAAACATGATAACTATTTTGGGAGGGGGCAAGTCAGTAAATGAGAGCTCTTTGTTATAATTTTCAAGCAGAATAAGGAAAAGAATGCACATATTGCTCCTATGTGAAGCGGGGCAGGTTAGGGTCTTCGCAACTTTATGCAAGTTTGCCTCGTAATCGCTCCGCCCTGCCCCATTTTCCATCCCTAAACAAAAGCTACCTTCTCATAAAAGTCAAGTTTCAGAAGGTTGGCATTTCTTACATCTATTTAGAAGAATATTACATATCACATGTACCAAAAATTTGCACATCACTCGGCACCAAAGCTGTAACCAACATAATTTTGGGTGATTATGTTAAGACGATTTTGCATGACATCCATAGATGGATAAGGAGGAAAACACAGGCGGTAAAAGCAAGTGTGCGAGGTAGGCAAGCAATCACGAGAGTCTGAGGTTCTGTAGATATGAAGTTTCGAATCTAGACCACCAAAACCCTCAACAGGCAGAGACTTGATTGAAGTCCAGAAGAAGAGAAGCACGTTTCTCTGCTCTGCCGACATACTTCCAACTATCTGCAGCAATAGAAAAGAAAACTTTGAAAATGCTGCCGGGATAATAACTTTGAAAGAGTTCAAAAATCTACCACGTCCAAAAACAATAAAGAAAGAGAAGATTAAAGGGGAAAAAATGTAGACTTCTCGATAGTTAATACTCTGGAAACATACTTAGAGCAGACAAGAAATAAGTACCTCCCAAAACCAGGATATTTGAGGATCATCTTTTTTATAGCCATTGTAATTTGTATGTTCTTTCCAGTCTTCTACAGAAACAGCTGTTTTACTCCCATGAAGCATCCTGTTAAGGTCTTCATGATCTAGGATCCGGTAAAAGGATTCCTGGAGCCGTCGGTCAGTAATTATGTCAGCAAAACCTTGAGCAAAATGGGCTACCTGATGAGCAATTGATTTGACAAAACGGTGTTTAACAAGAAGATTCACATAGTTATCCCTATTTTGACTGTTCACTATCGTATTTTTCCCATTAGGGCAAAGCTCCACTACTTTCCTGGATCCCAATTCTTCATCTTCACAAACAAATGTTAGGCTTAGGATATCTTCATCCACCATCTTAGTATCCATCTCCAGTATCTTCTTGCAGCCACTGTACAAGTAGGGATCTGCATCCCTAATGTCTTCAAACGAAATATCCTCTCCAGCTAATTGCAAAAAGAACACACGATCAAACGCAATGCTTATTTGTACTCTATGCAACAAGGCCAAGGCAATAATCCTGCCGGAGAAGACAAAATACTCAAGGTGCAATGGGTCCACTTTAGATGCTGCAAGCACAAATGCAGATGAAGGTTATTTGCATTGTAGCACAAATGCAGATAGGAGAATAATATTATTTTCGTGAAACATCAAAAGATTGTATCAAACAGCTTTGTAGTTGCAACCATCTTATAAATGTAGCTGTGCCATACAATCCAAGTATACTAATGAGGTAAACGAATGATGATACAACTAGTACATACTCATTCATATGCCATACAATCCAAGTATACTAATGCACCTTCATTGAGAAAGATATCTAACTAGAACTGCAATGCCATAAATAAGTCAAACTCTTTCGATCATTACTTCATGAATTTTATCTGATTGCCTGGTGTGATTGGAGAATCAAAGAACCAAAGGACATCAATAATAACACAACTAAAAAAATATACTAACATGAGAACTAAATCCAGACAAAATTAAATTTAAAATCTCAGCATGTTAGAATGGCTTAATCTCCTAAAGCAGGCTGGCAAAATTAAACAAAAACTCAGCTTTTCTGGACAGTAAATGAATATTGGCAGAAGTGCCAAAAGGAGACAAAAACTCAGCTTTTCTGCTGGACAGTAAATGAACTTATGAAGTCAAGTATGGTATCAATGTCATTTACATTTGAGTTCAAACTAACATTATATTCTTTCCTTTCTCGGCGAAATATCATTGAATCTTCTCTCTAGATGATCCATAAGATTGCTGCCAGAAGGGGAAAACCTACCTTTGATCAAGAGTGTATAGCAAGACTTAATAGCAAATAGACCATTTGTTTGTCCTTCCCAATCATAGTATCAGTCTTGGGCTGTACTTTGGGGCTGCTGCTCAGTTTTTCTAAAAGCTGTCCTAGTTGTTTCTTCCTTCTAAGGAGGATTTTCTATCCTTCTTTAGGGTCCGCTACATAGTTAAACAAATCTGAGAAGGGGAGTGTAGCAGTGGTTTGATACAAGAAAAGATGCTAAACAATCTGATATTCCGTTTTTAGCGGGTATTATCTTTCCATATCAGGATCTTTTTTTTTCCGTATACTCAACCCTTGAATAATGAATAGTTCATGTTTCTGTAGTTCCTTCCACAAACCTCCAATGTGTGTCCTCAATCCTTTCAACTTACTAAAATTTATGTAGCAACGAATCAGTAAATCTCTCAGACATGGGTTTCATGAAATAGTTGAACCTCAAAGAATGCTATGAGGGTATGAACACAAAGAGAGATAATACGTATACTCATACTCACAAAGATTCAACCTCTATCTCATACTATTTATCTATTTTTGAGGAAAAATCAGATAAGAAACATCTTTCATACTCGACAACTTTAGATCAAAAAATTAACAGAAGGGATAAATGAGAACAAATGTCACATTTTATGTGTAACATAAAGGCAATAAAAGTTTACCTGGATTTGGGAAAAACCTTCTACCGTCATTTGGGCATGAAACAAATAGAGCATTTTGAGGGTTGAAAATGGCTTCACATACCAAGGAAAACCACTCCCTCAACACACCAGGCCCGATAGCTTCTTCATTCTCAAATTGAATAAATAATTGACCTAGCAGAGACCTAGGACTAGCATGTCCAATGTACTCAAATGAGTCTTCAAACAAACGAGACCTGCAAATGAGCATCTCGTAAAGCTCCTCGTTCTTGTGCCTCCCTTCTAGAAGTATCTTCAAGGCAAAACGCTGCCTTATCTTATAATGTGTTACTTCCTTGTGCTCAAGAATCCACTGATAATCTGTAGACTTTTTTGAAAGCTTACCTATCAGAAAGCACAAAGCAACTCTTCTTTGCCTCATCTTCTCCCAAAACATTTCATTCAATCCCTTATACAACTTCGAAATGCTTTCTAACTCCTTTAGAATTAAAAGATACTGGGACCAACAGCCTATAATAGGCTCACCTCTTCCTATGTTTACCAAACCCAGCTGGCGTTCCAGTTCCTTCAGACAAAGCTCCGATTTTTCCAGCAAGTCACAAAAAACATGATGCACGCCTTTAATCTCAGATCTTTCATTTCCTGCTTCATCTTGCATCAAGGAAGGGAAACTAACCAGACTGCCAAATGCTTTTTGACGTCGTATTGCACACTTTACCCGATGCATGAACTGAATAAACTCACGCACATCACTCTCTGATAACTGTATAAACTCAGCTAATTGCACACTCAATTCCAAAGCATGAGATAACCTTGTTGCCAACTCATGAACAAAAGGGAAAATATCCTGCAATCTTAACACATGCTTAACATCATGGACATTCCTCTTCATCATTGCAGCTAAACTACTACGGCAAAATATATATAAAGTATCATCAACACCCGCAGCCCCTCTTAGAATCGTACAGAACTCGAAGAATATTGGAGCAAACTGCCTATATACGGTTGTAGGATCGGTGAAAAGTATCTTACAGTTATCTATAAATTGACAAACGCATCCATGAGCAGCTTGTTTTTTAATTACAGAAGGAGATACATAAAGTTTTACCAGGGCCGCAGGAACAGAGAAGTAAATAAATATTTGGAGATATTCCTCCGATCCATCTGCGCCATCCTTCGGGGTATTTGCGAGAAAATCGGTAAGCATCTTCGTCATACGGGTGACATTAGCATTAATATCTGTGTCGTCATTGCAGTTGCAGAGGTCATGAATAACCAAATTCAAGTCACTCATCAGTTGCAGGGTATCATCATTTTGTACACCACATTCTGATAGCGTTTGGGACAACTCAAGCTGTTTGCCGCAGTAGATTAATCGCTGTTCCAATGCTGGTACAGCAGAGGTCGATCGGATTGGTCGAATTCCGGTGATGGAATGGATTTTCCAGTGAACTGATGCTACTGTATCAGACGAATAGGCTTGAATGACCAGGGTTTTGCCGCCGGAAAACATACGGACGAAGAATTGAATGGGAGTTTTCAGAGAAGAATTGAAGAGGATTTCGTTATGTCTCATCCTGGCTGTGCTGGCAGCGGCATAATCATTGAACTTGCGTTTGGTGCTAGTTTCGTGAGGTAACTGGTACGCCATTGATGAGAAAGAAGAAAAGAGTTTTGAGCTCTGTACTAATTTTGAACATATGTTAAAGAGGAAGTCAAATTTGTCTTGCCTGTTAAGACTCACCCTTCCTCCACCTGTGCACTGATTTTAAACTATTTTCCTTTTTTGTCTATTTCAAATATTTTTTTATTCTATTTCAGAAGACTCATATATAAATATATGACCCCATCAATATTATAAATTCATAATTCTTTAAAAGTACAAATATATCAAAGACAATTTAGTGAAATATGAATTTATTGTGTTTTTTTTTTTGTTAAAATTTTAATCTAGTTGAAACTCATCTCTAACTTTTCTTATTGCATCAAAAAGTTCCGGTGTTGTCTTTTCGTACTGCATTATAAAATTGTGAAAAGTTCTAGATGTGATAAGTGTAACACCCCAGAAATTTTTTGAGCTAAGACTTGAACTATTCTTCGTTGTGAGTAGGATTTTACCGAGGAATTAAAATTTCTTAAGTGTTAAGTTCACTAGATGTAGTACCTTGAGTTCGAAAAAGAACTAAATTGGAAATAGCAAAATCTGAAATTTTGCAAGTTAAGCTAAGTATGAGTTTTGGGTTGATTTCAAACGAACATAACTCATAGCTCAGGATGATTTAAGTATGCTACCAGATACCGTAGGAAATATCTTTGAATTATCTTTCGGACGCCACCGAGTTTGCTAAGTTTCGAGTTCGGATGAGTGAGATATTGCCTTTTGAAGTTAGGCTGTCCAGTTAAGGAAAGTTAGCTGAAAATAGTGAGGGGTATGTTGGTCTTTTCCTTACCCAATCAGATTTAATTCGTTTTTAGTAAGGTTTTAAGGGTCTAATCCTATTGGGTTCAGTTTTATAATCCTAAAATTAGCCTAGGGTTTTAGTTGAGAGTTCAGGAAGAGAAAAGAGGAGAAAAGAGGAGAGGATCAAGCGTTCGTTGAGATTCTTGCGTCTTGATGCGGATTTTCGCCATGGGTTTAATCCCTAAGAGGTATGTAAGCTTCCATAGGGTTGGGTTTGTCCACCCACACGCCAAACATATTATTTTCAGCGAAGTTTCATTCTCAAAAAGTTGAAGGATTTAAGTTCTTGATAGGTGTTCTTGAAGTTCTTTCTAAATCTTGTTGTGTTGGGTTTTTGATGATTTCTTGAGATCAAAGTGAGTGTTCTAAGGGTTGTATTGAGTAGATTAGAGTGTATTAGGCTAAGTAATTGATTTAAGTGATTGGGGAAGAAACCGTTCGATTCTAGGCGAGTTAGGGTGAGAAAATGAGCAAAGAAATTCGTAGCATTTTCTGGGTTGGGGCCTGGCGCGATACGCCAGCCAGAGCGCCCCAAACCCTCATATGAAGTTTAGGACCTGGCGCCCCGCGCTACCCATAGCGCCAGGGTCGCCTTCCCCATCCAGTTTGTCACGACCCGAGTCTACACCTTGGACTTGGCCGGCACTCGAAGACCATTGTTGGTCCCTAAGCGAACCTTCATCCTGGCTGAGTACAAGCGGAAGACTAACTTAAGCATGCAAAAGCTTAAAACTGAATAAAATTCAATAAACCCAACTTTTCGAAACTTTAACTCAATGAACAACTTAGAATAAAAATAATATATTCAACTCGCCATAAAATAGGCAGCTTAAGTCTTTAAAACATTTAATAAAAATAAATGAATAATACAGACTTCTCAACTTCTCAACTATACTGACTATCTATGAAGCCTCTAACTGATAAAGATGGAAGTCGGGACAAGACCCATGACATCCTGACTAAACTGAAAAGTAAATGAAATCCTCCGGAAGCAAGGAGGCTCACCATAGCTAACTCGAACTCTCGGATGTATCAACGAAGCTTCTGTTGATGATCCTGAATACCTGTGTCTGCAAGATGCAGGCCAAATGGCTCAGTACGTGGAATGTACGAGTATGTAAGAGGAATTCTAAAGCATAAACATAAGCTTGAAACTTGATAAAAAGAAACATACTTACCTCTTCTCAACTCACTCAACTCAAAGAAACATAGCTCAACTCAATGATAAGATATTCAACTCAGAGGTATACTCTAGGATACTCAGAACTACTCAAACTTACTCAACTCAAAAGTACTCAAGGATAAGATACTCAATTTCAAAGATATAATACTCGACTTGAAATACTCAACTCTAGATACTCAACTCAATGAATACTTAACTGAACTCATTTTGTTATAAAGCAGTTTAAAACAAGTGCAATATAAAGAAAAGGAAAACTGTTTAAAACATGATGTCAACTCATAATCATAAATTCATAAAAACATACCATGCTCCCTCTCAAAGTCTACTTGTGCAATGCATGAAGAAAGTCCCATACCCCCATTCATACTAAGCAGAACCCCTTGAGGAACCATGCAATTAGTGTTGTGGGAGTTTCTCTAACCGACAACCACCACTATTAGCCTAAGTGGTGATACAACGTCTTGCCTACGCTGCCAGAACTGTCCTATACGTTGCCATCATATAAAACGCTTAACTTAGTGGATCCACTAGCTTAACTTATGTGATCATCTAGAAAGTATGACCTATTAATACCCATGATGGCTACATGGTTTATGGAGACTTGAGTTAATATGAACTCGCATCCCCATATCGGTGCTCAATACTACTCCCAAAAATATACTTAGCTCATATGTTTTAAAAACAAACTTCTTTCTTTAGTTTGAGATAATTACTCAAAACTTAGCTTAAAAGCTCTCTTGAAATCGATGTTCCCTTTTCTTGCTCAAGTGTGAAAACATTTATAAACTCTTTGGGGAATACCTAGTTCCCTTATAGCTTTTTTGAAGAAATGAACTCAACTCTTTACTCTTTACTCAACTTAAAACTTAAGTCTTAGAACAAAGTTAAAACGTTTGTGAAAGACTTTTGAAAAACTTTAATGAACTCCTCTTGACTTGCCTCTTAACTTCTAAACACGACTCTTCACTTTTCTTGAATTAAATTATGGATTCAAGGATTGTGAGTTGTGATAGGAAAGATCTCATGATGTTTA